CCCCAAAACCCCAAAACCCCAAAACCCCACCATTCAACTTATTGCATTAAAGATGAGATTATAAATTTATCCTTTAATTTATTGATTTGAAAATGGAATTATCAGTATCAGGAGGCTACAGTTAGTTTTGGAAAGCAATTATTCGACCACCAAGAGAAAATTATGAACTTAAAGATTTAGGTCCAAAAGAATTAATTATTGATGGAACTAGAGTCCGCAGAACAGATCTTGAACTAACTAACCCTAGAGGTCATAACTTAAAATGCTCATTCTTTGAAATTCACGAGAGTAAGAGACCTGAAAAAGAATTACCGTGCGTGATATTTTTGCATGGGAACTGTTCCAGTCGAAAAGGATCTTTTGATTGCTTAGAATATCTATTACCCTAGTTTATCTAACTCTTTACATTTGATTTCTCTGGTTGTGGAATGTCTGAAGGCGACTACATCTCATTAGGATGGCATGAGCGTGATGACCTTCAGTGTGTAATTGAATATTTAAGAAGCTCGGGTAAGGTATCGCTAATCGGATTATGGGGCAGATCAATGGGTGCTGCTACTGCTCTATTGCATGGACATAGAGATCCAACTATAGCTGGTATGGTGCTAGACTCTCCGTTTAGTCATCTAAAGCAGCTCGCAGAAGAATTAGTCTCTAATAACACTAAAATTCCACAGTTCCTGACATCAATGGCATTAAAAATGGTGCGAAGCTCTATTTAAAGCAAGGCTAACTTTGATATTTTTGAGCTAAACCCCATAGATCATGTTGATACTTGCTTTATTCCAGCTCTATTTTTGGCTGGTGACTAAGATGACTTTGTTGCTCCACAGCATTCTAAAGATATATATGAGAAATATGAGGGAGATAAAAAGCTAATAACTTTTGAGGGAGGTCATAATGGAGTAAGGCCAGATCATGTATTATAATAAGTGGCTGAATTCTTTTATTTGACTATGCAATGCGATGCTGTTTAGCAAAGGTAGACTGAGTTGAAAATAAAACAATAAAGAGAAGTGGAAGAGCTAAGACAGAAATTAAAGAAGGATGAAATAAAAATTAAGAGATTTGAGTAGCCTTTGGTAATAAGGAATCCAAGCAATCCCATTAATGATGATGACTATTAGAGCAACTAACTATCAAAATATAACTCAGAAGATTTCTAGCTTGGAATTGATGAAGATGAAGAATTCAAATTAGCATTGATAGCTTCAATAGAATAGTAAAAGTTCGAACCATCCCATAGGCTCAATTGAAACGACATATAAAGTTGAAGTATAATTTCTTAAATAATCTCAAGAAGCACATTCCTAAAATAAAAATGCTTCTCTGTTGAAACTATATATAAATAGTAATAACTGGATTAATTTATCTTATAAATTTACACATTTTTCTTAAATTAAACAAATTGGAAAACTTATTTTGCAAGAATTCAATTAATGTAAATAGCTATATAATTTTTCAAAGCTTTTGAGCTCTCTTTGAATTTCAGCCAAAGAATATTACTTCTGAAAGCTGGAATTGATAAATATATGTTTTCTCTTCCGATTCAAATCGGAACTTGAGGCGTTTTGAAGTAATTCCAAATACATCAACTAAGAAGAATTTAAATTGCTCTCTCTTAGAAAACTTTACATCTTCAACTTGGAAAACAGTCTGATAATCTTCGCTGTCGTTATGGATTGCCAATAATTCTATTTTAACGGGATCTCTTTCAGGACAGTCGTTTCCAGACACAATTCCAAAGAATTTGAATTTAATATCTTCGTCCAAATCAAAATATACAGTTCCAACGTGATTCTCAGTAATGCACCATTTCCCACATGGTTGAATCAAGTTTTCTGGTCCAGAATGGACTGTTCCATGTCCCTCAGTCCTCATCGTGGCATTAAAGAATAATTAGGCAACGAAATTTTCATGTCTTGCCAAGTAAACTTATTGTGCTTTTCTTTGCCAGTCAACTTGAGCTTTGCTATCAATACTCAACGGCAAAAAGTAAGGAGGTGCATTATAAAGATCTTTTGTTGGGATGAGAATAGCACCTTCAATTAGATAATTTTCTATTGTTTAACTATCTGCAAATAGTTGCATCTTAATGGTAACTGGCCCTTCATTTGTTCTTAGATCCATACTGCCTGCATAAGTGTTAATCAAAATATCGGCGTTTTCTTCATTGAAGTTATTTTCAATAAAAGGATCAAGCTGGCCTCTTTCGTACTAAGTTCCATCTGGAGTCACCTCAAAGATATTGAGTTTGGGAGAAGTAATTTACTTAGCGCTATGTCTAAGATAAATATGATAAGCACGAGCCTTAACTCCTTAGAACAACCATTCTGGATTGAAATACCAAACACTTTCACATTTGTATACTTCTGAATTAAATAGAGAATTCTCAATGGGCTTAAGCTACCAATTGCTCGCATTATCCTAGTGAGACCATGTAGATTTATTTGCTGCTGCTGCTAAATATTTTTTGCCATCTACCTTAACTTTGTACGTTTACTTGGTTTCCTTAATGTGCTTTACTTTGGAGACTTTTCCATGGCAAACAGAACCTTTAGAATGCGAGTGTTCCATTTTCTCAAAAGATATTTATATTATTATCGATAAAATAAGTTATGAAATAATATATCAAACTTTTAAATAAAGCACACTTCTTATTGTTAATATTTCTAATATTCTTTGTGGTCTGATCTTAAGGGGTTTTGGGGTTTTGGGGTTTTGGGG